CTAACCCATGTCTTCCTTCGATTATTGGACGTGCTGTGGCGTGAGGCTACAAGTGGTTGACCAATGGTTGACGGCTTGTTTTTTTTTTCCTTCAGAGTTGTCGTCTTTTTCAGTTTGAATAGTAGCAGCACAAAGCTGTAGTGGGGGTAACGGTAGAGCATGATGTGGGGCTTCCTATTACCTGCCTTGGTAAGCATTCGAGTCGGTTTGCGGATTAAAGGAAGACTGCCACCTTCAAAAAGTTTTCTCAGATCGGCCTATGATTTATTCCCTGGACAAAACAAAATTTTAGAATTCACCTGACAAAGTATCATCACGTGAATCGCGAAAAAATTGTCGATTTTCATACAATTATCAATCGGTTAATGTCTAGCGACAATGTTTACACATCACTAGACTTCAAGGTCATAAGATTATTACATTTTATTTGAAAAAGTAAGATATTTTATGATTTACTAATATATGATTTCATGAGAAATTGGCCATGTTTAATTTATTTTGCATTTAAGTTCGTAAAACATTTAAAAAAATCATGGCTCATTTGGAATGGGTCTGGCCCATGTTAAACCCCATTTCCCACACTTTTTTGGAAAAAATGAACTACTGAATATATAAGTTTAACTTTTATTTTGACACTCCAAAATTCTTCTCTGATCTCGAAACAATCAAAGTTTTGACATATATTTACCAAAAGATAAGAAAATTCATGTTTCAAAGTTATCGATAAACAGTAGAGATGTCGGTTTTCTTGGACTAAAAAAATGGCATCAAACTGAACTTTGGTCTCCGATTTCTCGCAAACGGGTTCGAATTTCGGAAAACCGACTTCAGTCTGGGACATAGGTGGCTCAGCTCTAGTGAAAACCGTTTTGTGGAAAAAAGGTGGCAGTCTACCTTTAACTGGCGTCGTTTCCTTGTCGCTATCTTGATAACCATCTTCACCACTAGGTAAAGGGCAGCTTTTTCGGTCGCGGCTGGGCTGAGTCGACCACCCAAGTCCAAACTTATCACGCCTCAGGCAGACGTGCAACTGGCTGCTACTGATACCCAACTGCTGGCAGACCAGCTTCAGGCTCATGCCGCCATGGATGCCGCCATGTCACAATCATGCCATTCCGCTACTGAATGGGAGAGACTGTCGTCGTTGCCATGGACGAAAACTACCAAGTGAACCCAGCGTTGACTTGACTCTTACTTAGAGCAAGGGTCACCTCACAAGGTCAGGTCAGTTCTAAGTTGAGAACCGATATCATAGGCACGTATTCATCCAATTTTCCCGCTTCCCACATCAAACAGTGAGAAAAGATATGGTGGAAAAATAGATGTCCCGATAATGTTGTTACACCGGCCTGTATATGCATTATGTGGGTCACTTAAAAAATAAAATCAGGTAACAAAGCTTAAGCTTCGCAAGATTTAATTTACGATTTAAGCGTAATCCAAAACAGTGAGCCACAAGGCACGTAAAGCATACAATAAGAAAAAACAGCAGCTTGGGGGTTGGTACAACTCACTGTCCCTTTCGACTATGAAGGCACATGAACCGGTAGTCGTAAAGCAGGTGTCGCACTTCCTGTAAACAGCTCAAGGCAGTGTGACAGGTTGTAGACTTGAGACGGCTGCCAGATTATGTCACAAACATGCTATCGATGCAGCGCTTTCGATCGACGAGAAGCGATCGAGCCTGGTGATCCCCTGACGGAGTGGAATGACGGCACGTGATTAGGTACCAATTTTAGAGCTCTGTGTTGAGATGGAGATGGCGGGTTCGAATCCCATTGGAGCGAGAAATTACCGTGCGTTTTATCGATTTTCAGACTTCATTTTGAGCTTTCGGGATCAAATCTCACTGGCGGTACGGGATTACCGTGCATGGTGCCGAATTTTTAACTCTGTGGTGCTAAACCCGCTATCTCACCACAGGTAAACAATTTGGGAGTCATGCACGGTTATCCCGTTCAGCCAGTGAGGTTTGAGCCCACAATCTCAAAACTAGTCCGAAAGTCAGTAAAAGGCATGGAATTTTCTCATTCTTGCCACTAGTGAGATTTGAACCTGCGAACTCCATCTTGAAACACAGCTCAAGCCTCAAACATCAGTAAATGTACAATCCTTATTGTACTGTGACTTTGGCCGTAAATGGGCATGTCCCGTGGCTGATATGGTTAATAAATGAAATGAAATGAAATCATTCTGCCCCATACAAGCATCCTGCTCCACCAGGGCCCTTTTTCACCAGTGATAGCAGCAGGCTGCTATTCCATTTTGCAAGCTGACGCCACACTTCTGGTAGTGTTGGAGGAAAAGGCTTGTTAATGTTGACGCCTCCATGGATTATGGAAACCCAATTTGACACGTGTAACAGCAGCATGCTGCTATCACCGGTGAAACAGGGCGCAGGCAAATCCCTCTCATTGATCAAAAACACTGCATTGGTAGTACATCTGACATCATAATCTGGCAGCCATCTCAACGCTTAAGCCCATCACACTGCCTTCAGCTGTTTACAGGGAACTGTGACACCTGCTTTACAGCTACCTACCTACCCATTAACCCAATAGTGATATTGGCTAATACTCTGACCTACCTTTAAAGATGCTGACAGCCAGGCCAATAACAGGTTGACATCAGGTCGAGATGTCTTCTGAGAGTTCTGAATATGTGTTGTTTCACCTGTATTAGGTGGTGAAATATTTTGAAAACCTTCCAGTGCTCAAGAGCAAAAAACTCCAATGCTCTGAAACAAGGCCCCGGAACTGGATCATGTTTTTCATTTCAAACCAAGGCCATCTATAGAAGGTACAGTCACTCCCCCGCCGACCAATCAGAGACAGATCCTGAGTGACGTCATCCCTGATGCTCGCAAGGGGTACTCCATTCCTTTGCAACGTAAAAATGACTAACTTCATTTGAAGATTATTGATGGCACTCTGCATATACCGCTCAGCCGTTGATGTCAATGGAAAGCCCAACTAATTTTCCAGCGACAAAAAAGAGCAGCAATATGCTAAGAAATGGCCGGTTTTGAAGATATAGACGATTTAAAAACCCTCTGCAACAGCATGAAAGCAACGTAAAAACGCATCAAGCTTATATTTTTACTATGGATAAATCATTTTTCAGTAAGTTTTTAGATATGGTATAGATTTAAGTTACAACTTTATTACAATATTTTCATTACTTGAAACTTTATTTCAAAATAATATTTTCAAAAATGGCAGCTGTTGGCCAGTAGCTTGGGAGCGATTGTGGCGCACCGCGCCATTAATTGTCCTGTGGCCCCCTTGTGATGTCATCAAAAGTGGAGTGACATGGGCCTGTTTCAAACTGCATCTACTATCTGCTCATTGAAATTCACTTGCATAGGTACCAAACAGTAGGTACCTTCTGAACCATGCAACATTGAAATAAAAAAAAAACACAATGCTAAAACTTCATGGTTAGTGACCTTGAAGTTGAACTGCAGTGCTAATAATATATTTCATTTCTCCAACCAAGGAGAGGCGCTAGGAACCAGTTGAAATGTGAATGCCACATTGTGCCATTCCAAAAAGGCAAAAACATCATGACTGCCAGCTGGTTTCATGTGTAGTGGTAAGAACGCCTGCCTCGTAATTCAAATGTAGAGTTCACAGCTGGCTACCCGCATGATTTTTTGCACGTTGAAGGTTTGTAGGTAGTAGGCTAGGTCGGGTTAGGTCTGTTTTGCTTAGAAGGAAGCATCTCCACGTAGCACCTCTCCTCTGTGGAAAAACGAAACACGCATGCTAATAGGAAATTGAAATTGAAATATCCTGACTTCATGTCATTAAATACAACAAATAGGGATGCTTAGGTACATGAATCAATGGTAATGCTCAGATTGGTTGGGTTGGCATGAAAATCATTAAATAATGAAAAAAGAAAAACCATGTCTGTAAATTTACTATGAAATGGTAAATTCAAATTAAAATCTCAATCTTGAAAATGAAACATCGCAGGCCAAACCAAAATGGAAGGTTTGCACAATACAATTTGGTGAACCTGATAACTTTTTCACGATTTCCTATGGTCTGAACCTAGTTCACCATGGTACCGAAATAACATAAACCTATCACGGACACGCTAAAGTGATTTTTTTTTTATAACAATCCATACGAACCAACTATAAACAAGATACGCTTTATACGCGCAGCAGCATTACCAAGAGACACCACTATTCAACTGTCATCCTTTTAGCCATCCTATAATTCAAAAACTCTGTCATTGATCGACACGAAATGGCACGAATTGAATACAAATACGTAATTTAATTATTAGTGTTGAATACAGTGACCTCAGGTAACCTTGATAGCCTTCAATGATCAGCTTAACGTTTGCGCCCATTACCATGGCAGCAATCCTATTATCTCAGCAAGTACTAGGCTGGTCCAGGGCACGGCTGATTGAGGCCAATAGCTTTGATCGAGATTAGAAAGCCACCGGTCAATTTGCCGTATGCAATTCAATCAGCCGTTCCGAATATGGTGACCTCAGAGTCAGGACTACAGGTGACATCGTTGACCTTGAGAGGTCAACCTGACGTTTTCACTTGCTGAAGCCTAGCAGTAGCTATCCTATAACGACAAAAAAACGTCCCGGCCTGCATGCAATTTCCTTAGTTGACAAATCGAGTGGTGTAACCGGTGTAACTTTCGGCTGGATTGGCCCATGTATTCAGGGCCTTGGGCCCAACCACGGTGACATAACTATAGGCCCAACATCTGCCTAGTTGTGGTTGTAGGATTGCTGCTAAAGGTCAAAATGCCAAAAGGTATCCTGTTTAGATCATAGAGGTCAATAATGTCATCATTTCCAAAACCGCGAATGAAATTGTCTTTTTCAATTCAGTCAAAGTTATTTTGTTTCAATCGGCAACGACTCTAGTCTAGAGTCATGAGATGGCTGCTAGAGGATGGCAGTCGAATAGTATTTTCTTCAGATCCCCCGACGCCACCATTTCCTTTGTTTGCGCTGGATATGTATGAGGCGCAGCAGAAATGCCACAATAAAAATGCAGCAAAGTTTAGTAAAAAAAGAAAATATAGGATAGAGCCTCTTTAATCATAAAAACCGACATCCCGTGGCTTAACATAACCTGCTAGCTTACAAAAAATCATTTTGAATATAGAAAATTGCAACACACTCAACTGTCTGATAACTTATTCACCGACAAACAATTAAACTAGGTACAACTAACTGTCAAAATTGTGCTGCATTTTAGTTCTATTTCAATGCTTGTTGTCTTTTTAGCGCCTAATATGTGGGGGCACGTCACACACGTGTTGTGTGTTGAGAGCTTTCGCGGATGTTGAATTTCAGGGGTATTATCGTTGGTGAGTTTTGTAGGTAAGTATGATTATTTTCGGTGGTGGCGGTGGAACACCTTCAATTAAGGGGGGCATTGCTTACTTTTGGTCCCTTATTTTCCATGCAACGCCCATAGGGCTAATGTTAAAATGCCAAAGTCAAAGGGGGGGGGGGCACGGTGCCCCCCCCGTTCCGCTGCTTTTGACTTTCAGTGTTATGCTGCCCATCTGTCGTACAGCTGATTCTAGGCTGCCGTAGTCACTAGCATGCCTGTAATGTGTTCATTTTTTGTCAGTTTGAACTGTGAATAGTGCACCTTTTTGTTTTTGAGGAAACCATCTGAATCATTATATTGTTTTGTGATATTTCTTGTAAGATTCAGAAACATTAAAATGGTAAAGTATAATTTATGTGTCTAGTGCTATTTGATAAATGTTTTTTAACTCCTGCAACTGTCCACACTAATCACCATGATGGCAGCTGGCTTGTGCAAAATTTCTTGTGATGCCACTTGGTATATGTAGCGGCCCTTGGCGTTAAAAGGGAAAATTGAGGAGCTGACTGCTGAGCAGGCATTTGTTAATTTCTGCCTTTTGTTTAGCATTATCATTTTCACTGTATATTTCATTGTAAGATGCTTTTGACATTATGTTGGTGTTTATTTCATGATAATATTTTCTCAGATCATGAGTAAGTCCATTCCAGCAGAGGAGCTTGATGGAGCGGACATGCTTGCTGAGGATGATGTCATTGAACATATCCCACAGGAGGTTGATTCAAAGTGAGTTAATGCAGTTATCATAAAGATATTATAAATCATTAAATCTAATTTACCACTTTTAGCTGGATGGGAAGCATTTTGAGGGTTGCTTTGGTCACTACAGGGGGCAGGGATTCCTTAGGAACATAGAGACTACCCCTACCATATCAGTTGCTCACTTCTCAGCCCTGAGGGGGTCGGGATATAGCTGCAGTGCTCCATTTTTCAGACTTTTTGGTGGCAAATCACACCTAATGGGGAAAATATTTTCATCCCTAAAATATGAATGACCGACTTTACGTCATCTCTGAAAAGAGTTTCATGTATTCCCAACAGCCAGTTCACATGTCACTTGACAGTTGATGCACCCACATCCTTTTGTTCCACACCCTGTCAAGATCCTGACATGAAATTCTGGTTTATCAGTTGGCATAGAAATTGGCAGTACACCATTTTGCAAAAACACTAGTTATTTACGTTCTTTTTTCTCATCCTAGGATTTTTTTCTTCATCGGCACACCCAACCAATATCTAATTTTAGAACACTGTATAGCTGCATCAAAGGTGTTTTTGCTACAAATACAGCAAAAAGTTGTACACTTCTTGAGTTTGAACAGTACCTACCTACCCTTATGTATTAAAGATTGAACTGAAAGGCTCCAATAGGCATGCAAATTAAATTCACAGTAATCACTTCCTCGTGGCACCAATAATGTCAAATATTATCTTGATGTGGGAGCATTAATGGAAGGTATCATTCATAGTGATGCCTATGGCTGATGGATATGAATCAGAGTGTCACAGGTACTCACTCCCTCTAGGAAACTGCTTGGAGATGGCTGGGAGTTCGCGGCACCAAAGACGATTGAAAATGAGGCCGACCTAGGCGCCGGCGACTCCGCGGACAAGAAGCAGCATTTCGAGGGTCTCGCCAAGCTGAGCGAGGATGGCCACAGTCTCGCCGAATACTGCCAGGCTATGGGACTCGACGACGACGATGCAGGTGGGTCAAATATCGCTCTAAACTATGGATTCCGTGATTTGTTACACTAGGTACCTTTTCTGTAGAAAGACAGACCGGACTCAGAGTAACCGAATATCTGTCTCTCCTGTCTTGTAGCTGTAAGCTGTCCATTTGCTATTCTCCGTTGTTTTGTTTTGTTTTAGTCAGTCAATTAAAATCTTTGGCTCTTTTTGACATGTAATCAATTTTTTCTTTGCTGTCTCCATCCTTCTGTTCAATTCCTTGCCTTTCGTTCTCATTCCCTCGAACGCCTTTCCGTGCTCGCTCCTCAATCCCCGTTCTCTCTGTCTCAGGCCCCCTACCCTTTCTCTTTCCACCAGATACCCGTCAGCCGTTCGCCATCCTGCGGACCAAGATGACCGACCTGCTGGGTGACGGCGGTGTGATGAAATGGGTGAAGGTGCCCGGCGCCGGGCTCCAGGTGCCCCCCGGCAGTCGCGTCACCGTGCACTACGTTGGACAGTTCGAGGGCTTTGACGAGCCGTTTGACTCGACCTATATGAGGAACCGCGGACGGCCGGAGACGCACCTGGTGGGAGAAAATAGCCAGGTGAGCGGCCGGACCGGAGAGTGTGTGAGAGTTGTGAGTGTAATGGTGTGCTTTAAACCATTTAAAGTTTCCTCTGTACTGTAATATGATGTCAGTGTAATGATGTTACGGCAAAAAGAACGTAACATAGCCCAATATTAGTCGCAGAAGTTTAATTAGCATTATTCATAATGTTCCCAATATCTCCAGCTATTGATCTATTTACCTGCAGAGTGAGGCGCCACCTGCCCCGGTACAGCCATCGGTCCCTGTCGGGCAGCCGTCTGATCAGTCCTGTCTGTTTGCAGCTGCTGCCCGGCCTGAACCACGCCATACTGTCGATGAAGAAGGGAGAGACGGCCCTGGCTCTCATCAGTCCCGACTACGCGTTCGGAAAACTCGGCTGTGGCCCGCGCATCCCGCCCGGTACGTAAGGGAGCTCCGTTAGGGGGCGCGTATGAGCTAGTAATGGCCAATGGGGACGCTGAAGAGTTAGTGATGACAATGGTAATGGTATAAACTGGTGTGTTGACTTTTGCGATTTTATGCTAGCTTGTTGGTTTTGTACGTTCTGTCGTTTGAAATGCGTATGGACAGTGCGTCACAGTGGCTATTGGAGATGTCGCTAAACTTCTCGACCTGTGCTAACCGCCCGTCCTCAGAGTCGGAGGTACTGTTCGAGGTCACGCTAGTCTCGTTCACGGACTCGTCTGACGCTGACGAGTTTGACGAACTCACTGAGGAGCAGCAGAAGCGCGCCACGTTCGAGCAGCGCATCCGCGCCATCCGCGCCCACCACAATAAGGGCAACGACGAGTACAAGCGCGGCGAGTTCGCCCAGGCGGCCCGAAGGTGAGCTGTGGTGGGGGGTCAGAGGTGAGCTGTGGTGGTGAGCGGTCGGAGGTGAGCTGTGGTGGTGAGCGGTCGGATGTGAGCGGTGGTGAGCGGTCGGAGGTGAGCTGTGGTGAGCGGTGGTGAGCGGTCGGAGGTGAGCTGTGGTGAGTGGTGGTGAGGGGTCAGAGGTGAGCTGTGGTGAGCGGTCGGAGGTGAGTCAGTGTGGTGAGGCGTCGGAGGTGAGCTGTGGTGAGCGGTCTGAGGTGAGCGGCGAGACACGTGGCGCCGCCTACCGGGAAGAGGTAGACTGGAGGAGGCAGACTGGAGCGCCGCCTGTGGACAGGGGTGGGAGGAGAAGTGGGTGTGTTTTGTGTTTTGTGCTTACTGGGGGGGGGGGGGGGGGGGTGCTTGTGGGTTGGAGTGACATATCGGGGTGAGTATGTTTTGATATTTTTTAGTGATTCATTTCATATGTATTTGGGATGAGCTAAGGGAAGGGCGGTGCATATTATGTCCCGGGTGGTGCGTTCTGCGGCAAATGTCTCCAAATCTTGGGCACAAAGCATGATCATGTTCATGTTTTTGTTTTTGTTTTTTGTTTTTTAGCTTGTGGTTGTGGTAGCATTCCTTTATAGACATGTGAGTGTTCACAGGCCGTCGTCAAAATCAGTGCTATTGTAGTGCTGGTGTATTGTCTGCTATCAATACGGTCACTCCACTCTGGCCGGAGCAGGGACCATGACACCAGTGTCCGTCTGTTGCAGCTACCGTGACGCCATCCGTGTGTTCCTGGTCAACATGTCCTTCAAAAACGAGGAGGAACACCGCGAGGCAAAGCACGTGATCTTCAAAGTGATGTCGAACCGCGTCCAAGCTCTGCTCCAGATGGCCCAGTGGAAAGAGGTACGGCCTTGGGTACGGCCGGGTACGGCCATCCGACTTCCCCGCCCGTACATAATATTTCGTTAAATATTTAACAGCATCCAGTTGTCTCAGCCTGCGGCGCCCATCGGTACGGGCTCGGTCCATTGCACATCTGACCTATATACAGTCGGGGCTCCGATGAACCGGCTGGACAAAGTACTGGCCGGCGGACGGTGGTAAGTTGGCGTCGTTTCGGTTTATGGCGGCGCTATACGTTGGTGAATGGCAGCCTCACTCGGGCGGAAGTATGGCCGACGGATGATGACATGGTCCTGCTACCGGCTGAGACGGCCGTCCAGACTACCCCGACTAATTTCATTATTTGTGGATTGAGTTATATAACTCTGCTGTACAAAGAATATGACTGCCTCGATAACAGATATATCCCCTGAGAGATATATGTGTCGTTTTTCGGATGGTTTGGATTGGTTTCGATGTCTTTAACGGATGTTTTAGTGTGAGTCGCTCTTTGAGGCATGTGACTGAAGGGTGGTGTATGGCGCGAAATCTGACAAACCGGATGGATCAGTCAAAGCCAGAGGATCCACAGTGGGTGGCACATTCAGTGACATGCTCTCTGACATGGCTTTGCGACCCTGTGATTATCGACCACCGTCGTATATGTGCCGTAGTTTGAAACCGTGCTTTCGTGAATTTCAAATATTGATTCAATGCTCGACGAATTTTATTACCGTATGACTAATATTTTATATCGGTCTTTACACACGGTCTGTGTGTTTCAGGCTGCCAAGCAGGGTCGCCAGGCGCTCCATTATGAGGACGCGGCCGGCGACCCGGACCTGCAGAGGAAGCTCTACACACGGTCCGTATGCTGCGTGGGGACTAGTGGAGGGGAAGGGAACTGATCACGGAGGGACGGAACTGATCATAGAGGGTGGGGATGTAGGACAGAGCTGGAGACGAGCAGACCGTCACTGGGCAGGGCGGGAGATGGGACGTGCCAATGGAGTGGGACATAGATGCTTGGCGACAGGGAATGTCACGGTGCATTAATCTTAACGTGTTTTCAGGCTGTTAAGGTCCAGACACTTCATTAAAAGTAAAGCTCCACTGAAACGCAGCTAATGATATATGTCTTGCTGGCATTTCCAGCTCAAATGGCCGGCTTTGTGTTGGCATATTCGATTACCAACTTGCGAAACCCAGGCCAGACGTTACAAAATTATCTTTCTTTCATAGGCAAATAATTCGTAGGTTAACGTCTATGTACCTATCTCAGTATTCACTAACTTTCACTTGACACTAGAAAAGGCATTTTTTTATATAGGCACTGTCCACCAATCGCAGTTTAATTGAGATACTTATTGAATTGCTCAACTAACCCCCGGTCGTTTGCTCCTCCACAGTCTTGCGAAGGCCATGATCTACATCCCCGAGTTTGAGGAGGCATCTCGTCTGCTGAAGCGGGCTGAGCGTCTCAAGCCCCGCTGCCGGGATGTAATCGTTCTGACCGAGCTGCTGGCGTCGCGGCAAAAGGCCGACAAACTGTGAGTACGCTGCAGCTGCTATCGTAGATGTGGGATAATTCAGTGTGGTGTGTGTAAGGAGACCATGAGAGTGAAGGATACATGAGAGCGGTCTCTGGGTATATATTAATGACGGCCAAGGAATTACGGGTTATCAGTTTCATTGATATTCTGGACATGGTCTTTGAAAATTTCCGCCATTGTAGAACTGCATGTTTTGCATGTCATCCCTCTCTTCCTTTCCGATCCAATCATCTCGAGCTGTCTATTGTGACGCTGAGTGGATCTCGGTCGCTAAAAGATGCCCCACGTACCCTCCGGCGTCCCGGCAGGCTGGAGGTGGAGTTTGCGCGCCGTGCGTTCCAGCCGGAGCAGAGGTCAGAACAGAAACCGGCCGGAGACGGGGCACCAGCCGAAGGACGGACTAACCTTGAACAGGTGCGTTCAAGTGTTATTTTTGTGGCTTGTGCCTATGGTAAAGCACTCGCTGTTCTTGTCTTTCGTATTGTAAATGTTTGTCTTGTTATCATTTCTGAAGTTTCGTCAGTATTTTCTCATCCTGTGTCTAAAGTAATGTCAATCGGATATCAATTTCTTGGTAAACCGATACCAAACCGATACCAACTTGGTATTTGGTGTTTCAAACCGCATACATTTGGTATGTTGTCTGTATTAGGAACCATCACTTATGTATAAGATGCTCCGAATTTGCTAAAAAGTTGGCATTTTATCAGTGTTACAATTTGGTTTGGTTTTCGGTATTTTCCTATTGTTTCGGTTGGTATTCGCCCGATTCGGTTTGGTATCGGTTTCCAAATTTTCCGTATTTGACGTTACTCAGACAAGGTAGCATGCTGTATACAAGATAGCTGAATATTTGGCATGCCATGTCCCCCAGCTCCCCCTCTGACTCTGCCCCCCCCCCCCCGCCCGCAGCCGTCCTCTGTACCAGACGCCGCCGGGGACACCCCAGACCCGAACGATGCGGGCGAGATCCGCGTCTCGGACGAGTTCCGTCGGGACGTGGAGCGCACACTGCGGCTGTTCCTCTCGGACCCGAGCCGCCGCGAGCTGGCGCTGCCCCTGAACCAATCGGAGCAGGGCCGGCACAAGCTGGCCCACATCTGTGTTCGCTGCCGCGAGCTGGGACTGCAGTTTGTAGGCGTGGAGGACGGTGGACGGCCGCGGGTGGTGAAGACAGACTAGATGTGGTCTGTGGACAGACTAGTCTGTGGACACGGGACAGACTAGTCTGTGGTGAGCAGTGTCCGGCTGTGGGGATAACGAGCGACTCGGGAAGAGTCGTGTGTGAAGGGAGGGCAGCGGAGAGCTGTGTGCTGGACGCGGGAAGCCAGTGATGCCGCCCCGCTTGGCGGAGGCTAGCTGATGCCCAAAGGGATGGCGCATACGCCGTAGAAGATGTGTACCTAAACGGCGTTGGAACAGGAATCGCAGGCCTTCTTTGGAATAAGCTACTAAACAGGGTTTGAGCTGCAACTCAAGTGTTCAGGTAAGTGAGCTGAAGTGTTGTGTCATGTCTGGGCGCCGTTTCTGTGCCTGGTATTGTTATTGTTTGCCGCCCTACATTAGAGGGTTTCCTCCACATTTGGAAACGCTATGAACAGGGCCGTCTCAGAAGGGCTGTGTCCCACCGGCCTGTACAGTGTACAAAGTAATGCACTATGTTCGTTCGCTCCCAAAACTGTGACCATGCATGTTATGAAGAACTATTGAAGCCAAGAATACAGTTTGAGTTTTTTAGTTGGAGCTTCTTTGTACTTAATACGAGTGAGCGCGAAGTGCGAAGCGAGTTTATTAAATATAACGGAGAAATCCTAGTTTGATTGGCCCAGCCCGACCTGTAACGCTTTCCTGCGGCGTATATCTAGACAACCGCTGGATCGATTAACTCGTATTCACTAAAAACCTTCGCATCGAACCTGCGTTCGCCACCTCCGGTCGGGACGGGCTCACAGCACAATACCTCACAGCAGTGATACTGGCGACCCAGGGGACTGCCCATGATAATGGTCGCGGCCCGAGGTGCGATTTCTCCACTGCCCTGATGACCCCGAGATACCGTAATAACGTCAGACGTGCAGTGGAACGGCGTGCGATACGGGACGGGAGCGGGGCGGTCAGATATGGAATACGAGAGATGGCCATTAGCGTTCCCCGGGTGTCGTTATCTATACTCGCGTCCTACTTCGTGTTTTCATAAGGAAAGGAGAGAAGGTGGCGACTTTTCGTTTCCTTTGTTTTTATTTGTGAGAACTGGTTAATTTTTTCTGTCATAACGTTACAGCTTTTCATAATAAATAATACTCAACGTAATATCACTCACGTTTTCGTGCGAAGCGAAACATTAAATCACCGAGCATCGAATGGAAAATTGCGTTCATTGACGGTGACTTTCCACTGCCTCAATATTTTGTCTCGACATCGGCGTGGACCGGTACTTTGGCACATTTGTGAGTCATTCCAGAAATCAAGACACCGCGTAGCAGGGCACCGGGCACGGGCTGCCATTTGGACAAGTTTTGCATGAACGACTGGCCATGAAACTTCCTGCCAGGAACTGTGTGACTACCCTATGAACTCTTACATGACACACTTTCTTTGAAAACCGCGAGAGAGCCCGGCCGCCGCCCGCCAGGTTACGGAAAACGGGTTCCGCAGTGGTCGGGTGCTGTGCGGAACAGTATACATTCCAGGCGTCCACCGCTAGTGGCATCTAGCGGCGAGATTGTGAAACAGCGCCGGCAGCGTACTCCCGCTTTGTTGAAGCCAATCTTGGGGTGCTAATGCGATTCGCCCCAATTTCAAACGTATCCTTTTTGAGAAATCGTTTATTGTTATTGAAATATCTAGTTTTGTTTTAGCCTAACATTGGGTAACATTGTTGGGCAACTTCGTTGCCTCTCCCCATGGGTGGAGCTTTTTCAGGGAAGTTGGTGGGGTAAAAAGTCGTCAAACCCACAATGTCCGATTATGAAGTTGAATAAAATAACACACTGAAGCAATTCCTATCATTACAGATATAATATTTTGCATTAAACAGACATTCCAAAGCTCTTCAATGCGAAAAAGATTTATTTGCAAAACAACAAAATCTTAGAAATCAGCTAAAATTGGTGGGGAAAAACGCTTATTGGTGGGGCAAAATACCAAGTTGGTGGAGCAGCCGCTCTGTATAGGAACTGTATAGGAAGCTCCGCCCCTGCCTCTCCCTCGCTTAGGCTGGTACACATTTCTGTTCTAAAACGACAAAAATAACCATCAGTCCCGTCTATTGTTAGCGTTTACCGGGTCTGACGTAAATTCTGCCGGCTCTCGTCCTAAATGTGGGAAGAGACCAACCAGACTCCAGACTCCCTAGTGTCGTACCGACTAATTAGATATGTTTCACGGCCGGGTGCCTCCTTGTCTCGTGAGCCATCACCCTATTATATCTGCCGGGGCTGAAATAGCCACCTACGCAGTAGGTGTGTATTTACGGTCACCCGGTGACTGTGAGTTGATGAGATAAAATGACACTCATTTTAAACACTTTGTCCCGAGGAATGATTAAATGGACAATGAATATGTCTACCAATAGTGTTATGGCGGAGTTCGAACAAAAAAAAAAATAACGACACTTTTGAGCACTACACCTATATTTATCATCATTGCCAGCACGCCGCAATGGACATCAATGAGAGAAATATCAAATAGTTACTCCTCATAAGAGGATGCTTGACCGAGTATAGGAACGCGTGGCAGAGCGACATTCGGTGGTCCTTCCGGCCGTGCGGGCGGGACGGTCGGACGGACGGCGGGCGGCGGACTGGTCGCTGTGCTGTGGTTGCTGAATGGTCGCGGCTCGCCGCACCGCAGCGGAAGGAGCGCGTCTCCACAGCGGCAGCGGAAGGGACGTCGGTACGACACGTCTCCCAGCCGCCACTGGGTCATCAGTCATCTTAGTGGGACAGCAGGGACTGACAGTGTCCCCGCTGGCCGGCGCGAGAGTCCAGTCCGGTGTAGATACTCTGTGATAACTAACATGCATCCCACAAGGACATCGGGACAGCGGTTATTAATCAAGGAGACATGTAAGTATGTAACACATATTGTGATTCTATTTTGAGACACTAACTGCTAGCACCATTAAATTCAGAATACTCTGGTAAAGTTCGTGCGACCATCTATGCCTGAGCATCATGAGTACATACTTATGCACGGTTCACAAGTCACAAAGCATGCAGCCATGCTTATACCGAAAATCCCATGCTAAGGCCCATGCGAGGCATTGTAGATCCCTGGGGTGTGCATTGTAAAACGGACGACGCGAGGTGTTTATTCTGGGCGTGAGGCTCATTTTAAATTCCCTCCAGCGATATTGTCGTGACGAGTTTTACTGCCATCTGAATATTCCATGCCATAAACGGCCACAGCTCACCATGTCATCTAAAATACTAATTATAATTAAAGCTGTGACGTGTTAAGAAGGCGATTTGGTCCGGGCGGCGGCCAGCGGCGCCGGTCGCCGCGACCATATATCAGAGCGGTCGCGGACTAAACAGGCGGCTAAAACGGTCGGCCGGCCGAGCAGCGGCGACGGCCGTGCAGCCGGAGATTTACCGAGTTTTCGATGATGGCGCGCCTGAGCGGGCCGCGGCCAAGTTCGGGGCGCCGACGGCCCCGCCGCGGCCGCGGATTCTTGTCCGACTTTGCGGCCGGAAGGCGGCCAGACACGCCGACAAAACTCGGCCATAATCACGGGGGATTCTAACTGTCAGCGTCCTGCCTCCATTAAAAGCGCCTGTCCGCGGTCAGATACGCATGAGATGAGCAGCTTCTTGCGCGGATGGAAATAAAATTTTGATTTAAATGTTTGTTTGTCATCTTTTGTCAGTTTTTTTTAGTGTCCCCCTTAAAGGGACCCTCCCGCCTTCAAAAAAGTTAATGAATTGGCATGAAAGTGATGTCGCTCGGTTCAGAAAGAGCAAAAACGAATATCTACCAAATTTCACCGAAAAATATTCACCGGTTTTCAAGATATTAGACTTTTACTTTTGTTTACTTTTTTGGGATCTCCGCTGTTTCTAGCGACTTTAATTTAGAAGTGCGGCGTTTGCGGCAGATGTTGCGCGCAAATAGCATATACCACCGCGTGCTACAAAACGTTTTAGTCAAACATTTAAAAATCGTTAGATATTTGCGCTGACGTCACACATTCAGAGGGGTATTCCTAAGCATTAGCCCCTCTGAATCAAAATGCTGCAATTTTGAAATTCAATATTTCCGATTTAAGGCATTTCTCGATGTTGTGAGTGCCGAAACCGGTAATTGTGAGCCAGGGACCCCATTTTGGCTATCTCAACTCAAATCTAATGTTAAGGTGGGAGGGTCCCTTTAAGTTAGATATGGTCGAGTGAGCCGATTTGAATGATTGTGTATTTAAGAAGTAACTACTTGCGAAAGCATTGTGCACGTATCTCGCTTGGACGGATATGCCCTGGTCACTGACTGTGGATAACCGGAGACTCGCAAAACGTTTTCGACCCATCGTATGTCTTTTGAGGACATGGAACCAGCCTAGGTGGCAAGGGGCTAATTATTGGATACATGTCAATCGGTCTTCTTTAGAGGAGGCATATTGGCAGGGGAGGTGCAGCTGCGTTATTGCAACCGTGAGTAATGCCATAGCAGCACCAGTTGAGGACTCAAGCTGTATTTCACCATAAAGATCGTCTTTGGCAGTAGCCTCTCTACTCCACTATAGGTATGTATTTGGAAATAGGTTCATAGTGAATAACTACAAATTTGTTCACCTTATTCTAGGACGCATCAGCCAAACGAGTTTCTTGTAATGCAAAAAAGACGTAGGTAAAGAAACATGAGCATGTTTCCATCACCAAGTCTTGCGCTTCCGGTGCTCGCAATTTCCATTCGCGGTCGGCGGGCGGGCGGCCGCCGGCCGATAGATTGTCCCGGCGAGCCTATGGGCTGACCTGACCCCTGCCCTGACCTTTCCCGCCGCCGCCGCCAATAACATCTCCGGCCAATGTGACAATTGGGCCGGCGCCGAGCGGCAGTAACGGTCGGAACTGATCGGCCGCCCAGCGCCGCCGAACTGCGGACGACGTATGAGAGGGGCGCCCCGCCCAAACAGACGGGTCGCGCTACTCACTGGTGTATTCGGTAATCGGGTATTGTAGTTAAATGATCATTAGCGTGGATGATGCATTTAGGTGTAAACTGCAATATGCAATAGGCAGTTTTTAAACAGCGGAAGACAAATAAAGAAAAAAAAAATCACGTAAAAACAGCTTTAATTATTTGAGACTAGGTACCTAAATGCGAAAAAACGTGCAATAGTCAACAACAGTATATTTCGTTTTCTTTGCACTGTGTAAACCACTGAGCTCGTCTCAAAGCATGAATTGTCAGACCGCTGTTGCTGAAAGTCAATTTCAAACAATTTCAAAATTTCAAACAAACATTTCCTCGTGCTCCGTGTGTTCTTTCTAAAAGACAGACGTGTATGACGTTTAAAATTTCTGCGAAATACCATTACAGTACCAGTTACCACAGGGTTAAGGGCCTTGGGGTTAAGTAACACTGTCCTTTGTCTTGTGCAAATTGGACAAAGAATGCTGTTACAAAGTCTGTTCACACATTTCCAAAGCCGCACAGTGGTTTTAGTGCCCTGAGCGTCTGAGCCACTCAGAAAGGCGCTATGCAAGTTGAGCCCAGCACAAACATCGTTTAGTTTTTGG